TTGTTTGGCGGGTCCGGGCTGGGGATTCGAACCCACCACCTTAGGTGTACATGGCTGGCGCCTTAGCCAGGTGAGCTATAGGCGCCTAGCCAGAAACCAAACTTCTAGGGATAAAGTACTTACTGTGGACTTGATGGATTTTTTGAAACCATCAACATTGCCGTAAAAAATGGGACTAGAGAATCTCAGAATCTTCACTCCTTCAGGTTCTTCAATCTAGCATTAAAAAAGAAAAAGTTTTCTGAGGTTAAACAATTTTAGGCCTCAAATATTTAATAAAATTTTAGGCTATTCAGAGTGAAGGAGAAATAAAATCTCAGGACCTCAAAATTCATTATGCCAAAGGGGGAACCAAGCCTGGGAACTGAGTCACGAAGCTCTGCCATTCTCTTCCCAGACTCAACTCCTCAATGGAGTACAGAGGTTTTTGCTTTTTTTGTTTTATTAGCAAGAAACATTACAGGTTGGAAAATGTTAGCATGGCTAGCAAAGGTGGTCTTGTTATGCAGATAAAACCTCAAGGGGAACTGGCCCTCAGAGAGAACAGATGGTAAATGTTTCTGTTCAGACCTTTAAAGGTGTCAGACTCTCCGTTAGTCTTTCCTAGATAGGAAGGAGGACCTGGCTACATTAATAAAGATTCTCTAAGGATGCAAATTTTCCCCTACAAGAAACAACATTGCAGAATTATTTCTGTCTCCTGGGATCCATCTTGAAATAAGTCAAAGAAATGTATTTTGGAATAAATTTCCAAAAATTTAAAATGTATTTTGGAATAAAATAAAATGTATTTTATATTTCCTTCAGCCCTAAACCTTTGAAAATATGTAGCCGCCTATAAAACAGCACATATATACCTATATAACCAGAGAACTCAGCTCCAGTAAATTCTTGAACCTGAGCTCTGTTATGTTTCACACCTGACAATCTTATTTCCACAGACAGCAGACCAAGGAGATGAGAGAAGATCATCACCCTTCTGCCCATTCTAAGAAGACCAAAATTTGATTATTTCCTCCTCTCCCTTTTCTTATGTTCACCTGAACTTATGTAAAATGTAATTCACTGCACACTCCTTAGACCTGCACAAGAATGTAACCCTTTGCTTCACCGTTCACACCCCACCTCCTCTTTCCCCTGCACACCTTCCTCCCTTAAATACCAAATTCCCAAATCCTTCTGCAGAGAGCCCAGGACACAGATGCTTCTGTGGCTTGCACTTTTCCTGGGCACATCCTCAGACTTTGGTTTAATAAATCTCAATTGAGCGTCCGTGACTCCTGTTTTCAGTCACTTCTTATTTATCAATAGCAAAGAGCCAGATCATGATTGTTCAGAGGAGCTGGACAGCAGCTCTCAACTTTTCTCCAATAGAGGCTTCATCCCCTGGGAGACAGGTTACCAAAACTCATGGACCACCATAGTCCATAGGAGGCTAACCTAGAAAGGGCCTAAGATAGCAATTATTCAACCCTCTGATTTCTAGATGAAGAAACTGAGGCTCAGAACGGTAACATGATTTGCCTCAAGTTAATACCACTGACCCTCTTGATTTTGCTAAAATTCTTTAAAAGCAACAAAGAAAAAAATAGCAAAACCAAGAGCAGTTACAGGAACTGGGGCCTATAATGCCATCTGCTTGTTCCTACTCTGCTGCACAGGGGTCGAACCAAAAGTAGAATCCACGAATCACAGAATGATCAATTTTTCTAGTCTTTATGAATCAAAGCAATTTTCGCCTCTCAGCTTCACATGGGAAGACAAAGGCCCTGAGAAGCTGGCTGAGGGGCAAGTTCTCACCAAGATGGAGCCCTAAACTCAGTCTAGGGGTCCCTGCCCTAGAACCAAAAAATTCTCTAAAATGACTCTTAGCTATTGATGGCTCTTGGTTCGACGTAACAGAAAGACTGTGGAAATAAAATAAGTAGCAGTTCCTGAAATTCCAGTTTCAGTGTCCAACATGTGTTTACATGTTAAGGTAAAATTAGACAACAACTTCCTAAGGTTCACATTAATTTTTTTTTTTTTTTTTGCTAAATTTATGTTTTCTTAATTCACTCTCTCTGTTTTTTCATCTTTGTTTCCCCTAGTGATCACTAAGCAATTTTATTTGCAGGCAACACTGGGATATTTAATTTCTTTGTACTTCATTTCCTGTATTATATGTTATTTCTTCCAATTTCAAGAATAAAGCAAAATGTCAAATTAGGTATGGGTGACAGGGAACTTGAAAATCTCTTGTTAGAACTGAATAAAGAGAGTCTTACAGGGATTTTAGGCAATTTCATAGAAGGATTATGTAGCAGAGAAATAAAATTTGATTGAATATCTGGGAATAATCTAATCGCCTATTATTTGTAATTCCCTTTTACGATGGTTTCACATTAAAATGATATCCAGCTAACATGGACAAAATTCACATAAGCCATGGATGTCAGAAAGTAGACTGGGTTGAAAGTTTTCAGGACACTCCCCATGGACTAAACGGGCTTTCCCAACAGAAATCTTCTACCTTGTTCCCGTCATGCTAAAAGAAAATATGCAACTCCTGAAATTCCAGACTACTAAACCCAAGTCCAGCAAATGTCTCATAAAGCACTTACATTTTTGTAATTCTTGGTACTTTTGTAGATATCTGTGCTAGGGATGCTTCCAAGGCCATTCCATGAAGGACTGAAAAGAAAAATCAAGGTCAAGATTTTTGCAGAACAGTCATCTTTTGGAATAAAAAGTTCAAAACAAATAAAAGCTACTAAAAGCTGATCATTCTGGTGTTTTGGACTCTGCCTCTATTACAGATGACATTTTGCTGTTGCTAACTCTGAAATGAACAGCTGGTGTTTGTGTGGAATCGGGGGAGCAGGAGAAACTGTCTCTCTTTTGATGGCTGAGAGAAATACTGAGCATCAGACTTTCACACGCACGACACGTTATCGGATGAGCAATGAGCTTTCCCACGTGTGCCATCTTATTCAAGCCCCACCATCACCCTAAAAGGTCCACAGTGTTATCCTTATTTTCACTGTTAAGTAACTCAGAGAAGTTAGAAAAGACCTCTGATTTAACCCCTGGGCCTTCAGTACCTGGCTCTCATGACTTAGGGCGACTGCCTGATGAAGTATGGGGAGTCTGCAGGGGATCAAATTAGTCTCTTTTTAAACAATAGAAGCCTGAGAGGACCAAAAATAAGCCCTTTCTGTCAACCAGACTGTTGGTTTCCTGTTCCTGATGGCCTCAGATAAATTTCATGATTCTTCAAGTATGACGAGGGACGTGTACTCAACACAAGGCCTGAAGAAAGAGTATCTGTCTGGGATACTTTCAGCACTGTGCTCTCTGCAGCAACATTCTAATTACTGGAAATTAAATCTTGCCTTTTGTTGGCTACAAGCCTAGTTACCAAACCAGTAGCTAAAATCTGCCACCAGTCTTTCCTTGGCTTACTGGCTTGTGCTGATTTTTAACTTAAAGCTCAAAGATAGTCTCTACAAAACCCCATTTCCCCCCAACCACACCTACACTAGAAAAAATAGACGCTGAGGCACACACAGCGCCAAAGGCAGCAGCTTCTAAGGACAGCATCTAAGTTCTTTTCTAGCAGCAAGTTAGGCATTTGGGGAGCTTGTGGACTTTTTTCAGGCCTCTGGGCAGCCGTTTTAGGGTGCTGAGGCAGAAAATGCAAGCCTTTGGGGCAGGCACCCACGTGCAACCGTAGGAAAGAAGGGAAGGAAGGAAAACTGGCTGGTGGAATAGGAGAGGGGCGCTTCTGCTGAGGGGGAGATATCTACGTGGGGGGGTTTCCAGGTTTCTCCTTCCTTCATATTATCTGCAGGCCCAGCAGGGCCCAGGAGTCAGAAGGACAATGGAAGCACTAAGGAAGGGGCTAGGCTCTGTCCCCCTCCAAGCCCAGGAGGGCAAGTGGCTAAAGCCTCTTAAGAGTCTAAGCAAAACCGTCCAAAACACCCCCCAGGCTCCCTCCTCCTCCCTCCATTATTTAAATCATACCTTCCCCACTTTCACTCTGCATATGAACTAACTATGTTTACCTCATATAATTATGTGGCTTATTGGGTATATGCCTTATTTGGCAGATTTGAATGAATTCTGGCTATAATTGCCTATTTTAAAGTTCTTCTGTTCTGGGTTACATAACTTTTGGGTTACTAGCTTTAAAAGAAGAAAATGAACTATAATATATTTAGCAGCTGTCTTATCCTAAGCCTCGGGCCCAGTGCCTCAAACACTTTAACTTATTGAAAAGAAGAAATTATAGGCTGGGTGCCATGGCTCATGCCGGTAATCCTAGCACTTTGGGAGGCTAAGGTGGGAGGGTCTCCTGAGGTCAGGAGTTCAAGAACCATCTGAGCAAGATAGGAAGACCTCTCTGTCTCCACAAAAGGATAAAGAATTAGCTGGGTGTGGTGGGTTTTGCTTCTAATCCCAACTCCTTGAGAGGCTGAGCCATGAGTTAAAGGGGAAAAAAATGTTTTTTAAAAGAGACTATTACGAAAATTAAAATTAAATTTTTATCCAAAGGGAGCCAAGAAACTGGAAGAGGCCGCGGAGTTAGAGGCTGCAGTGAGCTATGATAACACCACTGCACTCTAGCCTGGATGACGGCTAGAGACCCTGTCTCAAAAACCAAAAACAAATAAACAACAACAAACTAGAAAGCAACCTCAATCTTTGGCTGAACTATATATCTCTTCATCTCACCATGACTCAAAGGTGAGAACAGCAGGAGATCATGGGACTACAAGTTCTGAAAATTAAGTTCCCAAACTCATCCTAGAAAAAGTACTCAATACCTCGTTGCTGACTATCAATAGTCACCTTCCAAGTTCTCCCCTTGGGAAGCTAGGCACTGACACCAGTGCCTCGTCAACCGTTCAACTCAGTTTTAGAACTCTTTTTCTGGAATGGCCATGGGGGCTGTCGCTGCATGGCACACAAAAACCACGCAAACGATAACGAACATGGCACAGCGATACACTGCCACACAACGACACAAACGCAGCTGAGAAACAGGTCATAAAACCTCACCAAGCTGTTTCTGCAGTGCTGCCATTGCAGGCACACGGTGTCAAGTTCAAAAACTTAATTTTCAGACCTTATAAGACAACAGCGCTTATGGCCATCCCAGAAAGAGTTCCAAAATGGCTATGAAGGGTGGACTAGGCACTGGCATTGGTGCACAGCTGCCCGAGGGTGACTCAGAAGGTGACCATAGTGATATTCAGCCAAAATGCATAGATAGCATTTTGTCTAGGATGAGTTCTCAAACTTGTCAGGCCTCTTAAGTGCATAGATTTGGGGGTAAGATACATCTGGGTTCACATTTTAGCTTTTCCATTTCCTGGCGGTGTGTTCTTAGGAAAGGTTCTTAATCTTCCTGAATTTCAACTTTCTCACCCGTAGAATGAGAATAATCAGGCCTATTCATAGGATTTTTTTTTTTTCACAGAGTCTCCCTTAATCACCGCAGCTAAAGTGCACTGGTGTCATCAGGGCTCATTTCAATTTCAAATTCCTGGGCTGAAGTGATCCTCCTGACTCAGGTCCCCAAGTACGTAGGACTACGGGTATGTGCCACCACACCCAGCTCATTTTCCTATTTTTTACAGAGACAAGGCTCTTGCTCAGGTTCATCTTGAACTCCTAAACTCAAGCAATCCTCCACCTCAGCCTCCCAGAGCACTGGGATTATAGGGATGAGCCTCGGCACAGCCCGGCCTAGTCATAGAATGTTTTTGCAGATCAAATAACATCTGTAAAGCGCTGTGTGCTTAATTCATAGAAGCGCTCAGTGTATACAGACTATAACGAAAGAAAGTGGCACAAGAAAGCTCAGGGCATACTGTCCTGTTTATAGGAAATCTGGGTTTTATATTACTCACAACTGAACTCTCAGGACCACAGTCAATAGTCCAAATATAAGGCCAGCTAGTAAACCAAGGTCCAGCCCCAGAATGATGGACACCACACACGTAAACACCCAGATAACCTGGAAACGGAAAGAAGGATGTTAATTCATCAGGCAGCATCATGTGATGGACTGTAAAAACAGCATCAATTATCCACACACAAATGATAGCTTTTACAAAATACTGTGACTTCACTCGTTTCATATTTAAGTGGAAATAGAAATTGGCCTTCTCAATTAAGACCAATTCTCCCCTTCTCTTTCTTTTTTGTAGAGACAGAGTCTCATTTTGTCACCCTTAGCAGAGTGCCGTGGCATCACACAGCTCACAGCAACCTCCAACTCCTGGGCTTAGGCAATTCTCTTGCCTCAGCCTCCCATCGCCCATTTTCTTTATTTTTAAAGAATTTAAAATATTTTAAAATATATTTGCCTGGTTCAAAAGGGAATTTAATACAAAAGAGATATGGTGAAAACTTTTGCTCCCAACCTCTCCCTTCCCCACCCATCCCAACCCTCCTCTCTGCCCATATCCTCTTTTATTTCTGTGTGTGTCTGTGCTTTCCCCCAGCACTTCTATTCTGGTCTCTTTTTGACTTAACAATTTGTCTTAGAGATCTTTCTATATCAATATGTAGGAAGTTTTCTCATTCTTTTTATCAGTTGAGGTTTAAATTAGAGCAGAAGGATTTAGCTTTTGGTTTTTATATTTCCTCAGAATAGTTGTGAAGGTTACTTTAGTCAGAATTAAAATCATCATGGGTTCTTATATTTTGTTTCTGTGTTGTTTCATATTTTTAAAATTTATTTTATTTATTCATTTTGAGACAGAGTCTTACTCTGTTACCCAGGTAGTGATGCAGTGGTGTCCTGAGTAGCTGGGACTATAGGAACCTGCCACCATGCCTGTCGAAGTTTTTCTATTTTTTGTAGAGATGGGGTCCAGGTCTTGCTCTTCCTCAGTCTGGTCTCGAAATCTTGACTTCAAGTGATCCTCCTGCTTCAGCTTCCCAGAGTGCTAGCATTATAGATATGAGCCACTGTGCCCAATTGTATTTTGTTTGTCTTTCTAAACTAGGGTTTTTTAAAAAATGGTTGCTTTTTGGTTTTAGAAGGCCAAGGAAATATAAATAAGCTTCATATGGGATTCTGCTGGAAATGGACCTTTCTAGAGATACAGGATCTTCACAAAATCCAGTTCATGTTAAAGAACTTGGTGGCTTTGTGTTATCCACATAATTCTAATTTCTGCTCTGGGATTCCCAATGTCCAAGTAAGATTTTGAAGACAGGGGCCACGATGATATGGCAGAAAGCATGTAAGAATCAAATCTTATTTCAGAGAAAAATGGGTAGTGGGCGACTTACAGCATCAATCTTATTCTGCCTCCACAGCCGGGGAACGTCACACACCTGCATAAACATCCCTTTCAGGTTGGCAATTACAACAGCTGCCAAGACTGACTGCCGAGAGAGACAAGGAAGGCTGTGTTATTCAGGGGAATGGTTTTGCATGTGATGATTTTTAAATCTCCTGTTATTTCTCTGGTAGCAGAGTGGTGAAGGAAAGTTATGCAATCAGTGTGCAAAAAAGCAGGGCTATACCTTTTGCAAGGGTTCCAGAAGCTTCCCCAGGGCAACAATGGCGATCATGACAATCACAGCTGAGATAATGCCTGCAATCTGAAAGACATACACCTCCCATGAACAGGGTTCAAGCTCCCTCAGCTCTCCCAACTCATGGGGTGTATGAGAGCCTGTTCATAGTAAATTTCCCCCTCTTCTGCTCAATACTGTTGACAAATGAGAATTATTTACTCAAACTCTATACAACAAAAATGGCATGCATGCACATGCACACACACACACACAAATATATACACTTATGGCAGAGAAATTAAAGAAAATGTCGAGACTGAGCCTACTAAAGTAAAGCCAGTGTGACTTGACTTCGTTTGGGTATATCACACTCCTACCATTTGGTGTCAGTTCAGAAAGCCAACCTACTTATTCGCCATGCCAGGAAACATGGACCACCCCCCTTTCCCAACAATAGGGATCATGGCCCTATTCCTGGGAAATAAATTCTCCTGGTATGTAACTGATTCTTCCGCATTACTGAAGCAGCAGCCATAATAGCAACTCTGATAACAGTTTATATTTGTAGCCCACGGCTCCCAGGAAGGCTCAGAGAAAATAAATGTACCCATCCTATTGCAAATGCCACATTGGCACGTTGAGGTGGGACTGTCTTCTGCTTCCTCTGACAATTCCTCAGAGGCAGGCTCAGGGCTTTGTCACCCGGCAGCCCACAACAGTGGCTACAGAGCCACCGAGCAATAGCAGGGGTAAAAGGAATCTTCAGGAACTTTACCTTGGCTGGCAAAAAAGCTTACTCCTAAGATCCATAAATAGTTAGGAGAGAGGCTGAGGGGGTGGGGACTAGTCTCTGGTTTGATTAGGTGACCAGCGAATCTTTGTTGAGACAGCTGGGGCAGGGCCAAGGTGAAGACTAGAAGCTCTGAAACAAAAGGAGAAAAGGAGACAGAAAGCAGGAAGCAGAGCAATCAGAGAGGAAGAAACAGGGGACATTGTTTGGAGCACAAGTACTGCCTAGAGCAAGATGTCTGCGTTAGGGAGCGGAGCAGACACAGCAATTAGGAATAGAAATTAGAGAACTTAATTAGAAAGCATTCACTCCACCTGGCAAATCGATCATTTATGTTGGAATTACAGCTGGATCAGCCTGAAGCAATAGTGCGTATCTGATGGACTGCAAAGTTCACCCTTTTCTATGCTTTTCCTGCCACCACACCTGCGGGTTCCCTGTACACTGGTGAGCTTTTCACTCCCCTGACTAAGCAGAGAAGCTGATTCTACACCTCCTCCCTGCCTCCTGTCCCCTCCCCTACACCTTCCTTCTTTAACTTTCTTACTTAATTAACCAATATTTCCATTTGCATTCCGCTATGGGGATAGAGCTCTGGGAATGGAGATTTGGGGACAGGGACCACAGCCAGCCACCAGGAGAGTTGCCACCTACTTGCCAAGTATATGTAATAATAAGTCTCCATCAGTGGAGGCCAAGGCTAATTTGGTCACTATATTAAAGTCTGTGAGGGATGAATTATTTGTACTTACTTTATAAGGCTGGTTTGTGAGAAACTCCAGATTTCCTATTTACAAGCAGAATCAATTACTAGAAAATCAGTTATTCTTGAAGTACAGCAAAAGGAAAACTAGAGAGTAGTTTGGAACCAAAATTACTTTTTTGTGAGTCAGTTGGAGTCAGAGGGGGGTGAGAGGAAAATCAGGTTATAATGTTAGTTTTCTATACCCTGCACGTGCCGAGACCAGTTATTGTCCACCAGTCCTTATTCTTCCATTCATTCATTCAGCAAACACATGTTGGTGCTGCTTCTGCGCTAGGTACAACATATGTATCATAGGTGCTAAGATGCTGGTCCTACCTTGAGGAGTGGAACAATGAGCATTCACAAGTATGTTCTAGGATTTAACCTGTTTAATCCTCACAACATCCCTATGAGATGGATACAATTATTATTCCTAATTTGTAGATGCTGAAATTGAGGCCCCAACATATGAGAAAACACAAGAAGCCACATCAGAGAAGATCTGCAAGGTTATGTGGTCAGGAGTTCTTGGATGTCAACCCAGGTACTTAGACTTTTAACCCCAGAACTTTAGTATACATTTCAGTAATTAAGTATTGAGCCATTTCTACACTTGTTTCATTCTTCAATCCTGAAATCCTGGCATCTTTCATTCCTAAATATAATACACTCCAGTGTGTGGCCAGGGATATTAGCTTACCAGAATACCCTTATTCCCGCACACCCTCTCACAAGCCTGTGCCAAGGAGGTCACTTTACATGGGCATTCTTACTGTGGTGACCAGCCCAGGCCTCAGAGCCTGGAGAACAGACACCAGCAGTTCAGGATTTGACTGCACCTACCCAAGGCCACGCACCCAGGACAGCCTGTCAAGCTCTGTCTCAGATGGAAGCAGCAGAAACTCCTCCTGCTGTTGACAGCTGCAGCCTGAAATGGGCCACAGATCTCTGATTATGCTTCCTGGGACAGGTTGTATTATTTTACCTGCTTGTTGAGAGCTGGGAATATTTTTTTAAAAAAACATTTTCTTTAAAAAAATCCTGAACATTAAAATTTTTGTTCAAAA